GAAATGTAATTTTTCCTGTTTTCGATTGATGCAGGCATGTTTTGCGGGAGAATTACTTTTTTTTAAAACCAGGTTTTTATTTTAAAAAAAACAGTCAATATTTACAATATATACATACCTTAAAAACTAGTATCAAAAAAATTCTATGAACATTATTCTATGACTGTATAAACTTTGGCCAGGAGTGACTCTCGAGTTTATTTAATATTTTATGTTTTATGTATTTTAAATAACAGTTTTTCGGCACGCTCCGCGTGCCTAAAAGTCCACTTTCCGGCACATTGTGATGAAAAATATTGTTCGTAACTCGTGAAAAAATGTTTTTTGCACTCGTTACGAAATATACTAGGGGACGGTGGGGCAAACACGGGGCGAAATGAAACAGCAAGAAAATCGTGTGATCTAAGGGAGATAGGACGATTTTCATGAAAACCTTTTTTGTAGAGAATTTTACAAGCTACAAAAAAGGTCATTTTCAAAAATGTCCTATCGTCTTTAGATGACGAGATTTTCCCACTGTTTCATTTTGCCCCGTGTTTCATTTTGCCCCATGCTCCCCTATATTTCCATCGTTGGTCGTTGCGTAAATTTTTTGCAATTAGTATTTATAAATAGTTAGTGCTTAAAAAAAAAATTTGTTGTGTTGGCATGGATGTTAAAAAAAAAAGCCCAACAATATCCGCATTTGCGGGAGAATTACCGATTGAACTTATCGAGTTACATAAAATCGTACTGGAGAGATTATAACCTTCGGTTGCTATTCCCCCACCATTATGTTATATGGAACTCAAAGACTAAAATCTCGCCAGTAGGGGAGGGTGGGGTAAAATGGACACTTTTACAATTAGACTTTTATAAAATAATTTATAATTCAGAAACAAATTTATCAATTGAGCTCAGTTTAGGCTCATCACAAAGGGAAAGAATTGTTCTCTGTATTGAAATAAAATTATTAAATTTCATCAACTTTTCAACCCCTTATTAACATTTTAAAAAAAGTCAAAATTGTCCGTTTTACCCCACCCTCCCCTTCGCCTGTAAATGCCGACGAGAAAAGGCCCGAGTGGTGGGGATTGCCGGCATCGACTTAGAGATGGGCGATGTTTTAAAAAACATCGATTGTCGAAGAATCGATGTTTTTCAAAAACATCGATGCTGATTCGATTTTTCTGGAAAAAAACATCGATTATTAGAAAAATCTATCTTTCTCTCATTACCCTGGAAGAACCTCTGACGGAAGTTTTTTTCAATTTCCTTTTCAATTAAATCTGACGGCTACAGTTTTCAGTTTAATACAACAAAATGTTAAATTATGCGACAAAAAATGGAAAATTTTGCTAACTTGGTCAAAAACATCGATGTCCGGATAAACAATCGAAAATCGATTAATCAGCGTTGAAGCATCGAATGAAAAACATCGATATTTGGGACGAAAAATCCATGTTTTCGATTAATCGCCAACCACCGCGCATCTCAACACTTGAGAGCGATAAATATAAACACGAGGTGCAACTGATAAAAGTAAAAAAATAAATACAGGAGAAATTGAGGGAAAAAAATGAAATTCTTCTATTTCATGTTTGCAGGATGAATTAGCGATTTCACTTATCGTGTTACATAAATGCCGATGAAAGAGCCCGAGTGAGTGGTGGGGGTAGGCGAAATTGCCGGCACCGTCGAGAGTGGCTCGATCAAAAATCCACTCCGTTTGTGGACGTTGTGCCCACTGTTGAGCTCAAAACCGGAAAAAAACAGACGTAATACGCACTCCACCGCAGTCTGTGATTATCCTCGTGCCCTTGAGACGCTTCGAGGTCTCAGTGGGCCTCGAAAATTCAGATCTCATAATTAGTAGTCTGAAATTCGGTCTTGTGGTTTATTTTTGATCGTTCAAGGGACTCTTTGTATTGGTTTATTTCACTTTCTCCTGGAGTTTTTTTTCATTGGGAACGAGTTGTTTCCGATAATTTCTCCTTTTCGTTTCTGTGGCAATTGTTAGTGGTGCAGTGATCGAGAACACTTGGGGAGGAGAGACTGTTCGAGGGGATTCTTGATAAGAATAAAGTCGAGTTTTGTTGTTGTCTGGGGGAGGAATAATTCCGATAATAATGCCGTATCGTGGAAAATTACGACAACTGGGGAAGGCCTGTGTTGCCCACTGTAATTCTGGGTTTATCAGAGTTAGGAGTGGTGCAACAGCTGGTGCTCACGAGGCTAGGTGTTTTTCTACCAGTAAGAGTAACGACATGAGGTAAGAGAACAGATTCTTGGTTTTAGGGGTAATTCGGGGTTTTATGCAGTGAGTTGTGTAGTCCAGAATTTTGAAGGGAAAATGGTGCTTGTCTTGAGACATAAAAAAATTATATAATAATCGTCATGAACCGGATCAGCACTAATTGTCTGGGTATCTAGTGATTCAGGAGTGGAGGAGAACAATAGGCTTGAGTCGATTTTACTTTGGAGCAAATCAGCTTTTGGGGAGAACTTTAGAATCTGTGGGAGGCAGCGGAATTTTTATAAAGAACCTTTTCTAAACAGCTCACTTTACTCCTAGATATTTGTGTGCTCCCTTCAATTCCTAGATATTTATGGAGAAGTCACACTGGAGTTCATTAGATTGGAATAGATGATTTTACTCCGAAATCAATTTTTGGAAATAGGGGTGGTTGGAGTAAAATGGACACTTTTGAGTTTTTTAAAATGTTAATGACGGGTTGAAATGTTGATAAAATTTGATAATTTTTTTTTTCATTGCAAAGAACAATTCTTTCCCTTTGAGATGAGCCGAAACTGAGCTCAATTGATAAATTTGTTTCTCAGTTTTGAGTCATTAAAACAAAAGTCTAAAGTGTCCATTTTACCCCATTCTCCCCTACCTTCTGATTCAGGAGAGGAGGGGAAGAACAGGCTCGAGTCGATTTTACTATTGGAGTAAATCAGTTTTTGGGGAAAACTTTGGAATCTGTGGGAGGCAGCGGAATTTTTATAAAGAACCTTTTTTGAAAAGCTCATTTTACTCCGAAATCAACTTTTGTGAAATACCTACTGATACCTAAAAATCGATTTTTTAACGATCACCGTAAAAATTGTCACCAAAATCGAACTATTCATTCGAACTCGGTCAAAAGGACATCCAAACAAATTTTTTAAGCCATTATCCAATCAATTCAGAACATTTTTTTTAATTATCGTGAAAAACAATTTATCGTAAAAACAATTTTTGAGAAATTGAAAAAATTAAAACAATTAATACATTAATTAAATTTCAATTAATGGCGATTGATAGGGCTCAACAATAGTTCCACTTGAGGAAAAAAAAGATTCAATTCCATCGAACAATCGAAGAAAAATTCGTTTACGGACATACGCACTTACTAAAAATTGCATTTTCGGACTTTGGATCACAATGAGTCAATTTAATACAAAAAATCCACAACTTAAATTTGAACGATTACAATACATATGAAAAAATTCAATAGAAAAACTTGACGAATTCGTTAGAAAATTCTATTGGAATTCTCCAGAAATTCTATTGGGATTCTATTAAAATTCTATTTCTTTTGCGCTGATTCTATAAGATATTTGGTAGAAAAAATTAAATAGATTGCGATTTTTCTATAAGAATATTTTCTTGGAATTTTTTCTATAAGAATATTTGGGCATGAATTTTTTAAGTTTTTTTCACTCGGATCCTGTAATGCAAAACAAAACAAAATATAGCGGAAAAAAACTTAGAAAGTCCGTGCCCAATAATTTTAATAGAAAAAATCTCAAGAGAAAAATTCAAACAGAAAAATCGAAATCTCTTGACGTTTTCCTATCAAATATCTAATAGAACCTGCGCAAAAAACAAATAGAATTTTTATAAGAATTCTCTAGAATTTTAATAGGATCCCCATACAATTTCTAGAGAATGTCAATAGAATTTTCTAGTGAATTCGCTAAGGTTTTCTATTAAATTTTTTCATACGTGGAAGAATAACTGCACTCATTTATAAAGAAATTGCAATTGCCCACTTGTTTATTATTTTATTAGACTTTATTAAGGGGAATACCCCAAATTTCACGCACGAAAAAATTTAATAGAAAACCTATCGAACTCGTTAGAAAATTCTATTGAATTTCTATTAAACTTTCTATTAGTTTTTGGCTGATTCTACTGACATGTTCAATAGAAAACGGTCAATAGAAAAAGTCAACAGAATTCGATTTTTCTATATAACTTATTCTTTTCATATATTTTCTATAGAATTTGCTCGACTCAAATTTTCCAAGTTTTTTTCATTCTATTTTTCTTTTCTTCTCATTAAGAAAATCAAACCAAAAAATTTAGAAAATTTGAGCCGAGGAAATTCTATAGAAAATATATGAAAAGAATAAGTTATATAGAAAAATCGAATTCTGTTGACTTTTTCTATTGACCGTTTTCTATTGAACATGTCAGTAGAATCAGCCAAAAACTAATAGAAAGTTTAATAGANCATTCGATAGGTTTTTTATTAAATTTTTTCGTCCATGTTATGCGCATCAGTTATCATTCGAAATGTCTATTTTTAGGTTTGTACAATTTGTAAATAAAAATGGTGGACCCCAGCACTTGGGAGTTCAGTTGAAAGCTGGTGGGGACATAATAGCTATTTCCTCGATAGACTCCAGAATTCCCAACAATCTCAGAAAGTTCCTTGAGGGAGGAGAGGTCCTCGCTCAAAAAGCCAGACGGTGAGAAACTCAAACACTTAATAAACATGCTGTTATCATTGCGATAGACTATTCCAGCAGTAGAGTGGGAAATCGTAACCGAATAATTCGATTTTTCGCATCATAATTATCGATTCGTCTCGCTGATAAGGAGCTTCAAAAGTCTTCCTCAGAAAATATTTCCGAATTAAAAATTCTCCAGCTGCAAAAAAGGTCTCCATGTATTTCCTTCTAAAGTCTCTCGTATTGCCAACATGAATGGATCATTCATCTGAAAAAATTATAATTATAGTAATAAAGGCGGGGAAAGAAATGGGGAGTTATTGACTTAACGCCCGGGGGTCCTGTCTTTCGAACGTTATCTCGATGTTTTTTTTCATCTTTAGAACATCTGAAATAGTCAATTAAGTCCTGCATCATGCAGAAGTTTTGAAAAATTACGAATGAATAAAAATTTAAAAAAAGTAGAAAAAATTCTTAATTTTTTCAAAGAGCATTTTTAATTTATATTCAGAATAAGTTGAATAACAAGAAATTGAAAAATGTATCTGATTTACGGTGACAAATGGCGGCCTGTCACCCAATATCATGCAGGGGGAAGACTGATTTCGTAAATCTTTTCCCACACTGCACAGAGACATTTATTACGGAAAAGGCTCTTTGAAAAAAGTTGTAATATTTTGGAGAATTTTTTAATCACACTTTTATCACATAAAAATAGCAGATGACTACATACCACTGTTTTGAAAATTGAGATACCTAGCTGTCACTTCCCATGAGGCGTTAGTTTTTGCTATCCACCATGGAAAATGACAGCTAATAGATAATTTGCCACAGCGAATCAGATATCTGTAATTTCCACTTTTTTCAACTCATTCTGAATCTCAATTAAAAACGCTCTTTGAAAAAGTTCAGAATTTTTTCAATTTTTTTCTATCATTCTATCATAATTTTTGGGAATTTCTACATGATGTACCACTCAATTAACAATTTTGGGTTGCGAAAGATAAAAAAATCCAGATAACATTCGAAAGATAGTACACCTGGGCCGTAAAATATAATTAATTAATATAGTTATCTCAGAAAAAGTCAACATATTTTGACTTTCTGTTCGAAATTTTCTCCTGAGATTTTTTCTAATAAAAGTATTGGGCACGAATTTTCTGAGTTTTTTCCGCTGGATTTTGCGTTGTTTTGCATTACAGAATCCAAGTGGAAAAAACTTGGAAAATTGATGCCCAAGCATTCTTGTATAAAAAATCTTAACAAAAAAATTCAAACAGAAATTTAAAATATTGACTTTTTTTTATCGAATATGCAATACAATCAGGCCACAAAGAAATAGAATTTTTCAATAGAAAAATGTTGTCTCTAAAGAAAAATGTTTCAAGTTATAAAATGAAAAAAGTTTAAGAAAATTCGATGAATTATTTCAAACAGCATTTTCTTTGATCAAATTATTCAAATACTATTTCATTTGTGATGTTCAGTAACTCCAAAATGGCAATTAGACATAAATATTTCAAATGGTATTTCTCCCAGCTCTGCTGAAAACAGAGTTCGTTCACGTCGAATTTGACTTTTACGATTTCCCACTGGATTTATTTTCATTTCCGTTTAAAACTCAGCACCAAGGCCTCTTAGTTGTACGAACTCGATATCGATGATTAATGTATAATTTTACTCGTAGAAGTCTTTTCGTTTCTTCAGGAACGGTGATACCAATCTGAGTGATTACGTACAGAGGTTGGTGTCGGCATGCCAGGCTCTACCGATCGCTTGCACCTCATTTCTTGTATTTCATTTACTCCATCTTTTGATTGAAGCCATTTAGTCAAAATAATCTAGTTGATTTCTCTCCCCTACTAGTCCCCAGTATCACAATGTCTTGAATGAATTTCTTAGATTCAGATTCAACGATAATTCCCATGCTCCAACTGATTGCAATAATTGTGTTGATCTTTTCGTTAGAATAATTGCCGAAGGACGGAGTGTAATCGCCGAGGCGGATGTGAATTTCTTGGCACCGATCAATCGTATGGATAAGTTAGCATGCGTTGGACTTAATTACAGTGGACACTGTCAAGAGCAGGGTCTTGAACCACCAAAGAGCCCCGTTATCTTCAGCAAATTTCCGAGTAATATCGTCGGGCCTACTGATAATGTCGTGTTACCTTCGATTTCTGAGGTGAGTTCATCAACTCTACTATTGGATGCCTACACGCACGACAAAATTTAATAGAAAAACCTATCGAATTCGTTAGAAAATTCTGTTGAATTTCTACTAAACTTTCTATTAGTTTTTGGCTGATTCTATTGACATGTTCAATAGAAAACATACAATAGAAAAAGTCACCAGAATTCGATTTTTCCATATAACTTATTCTTTTCATATATTTTCTATAGAATTTGCTCGACTCAAATTTTCTGTTTTTTGCATTCCATTTTTCTTTTCTTCTCATCAAGAAAATCAAACGAAAAAACTTAAAAAATGTAACCGAGGGAATTTTATAGATAATATTTCAATAGGATAAGTTGGATAGAAAAATCCAGTTCTGTTGACTTTTTCTATAGAATATTTTCTGTTAAACAGTTCGATAGAATCAGCCACAACCTAATAGAAAGTTCAAGAGAAATCCAATAGAATTGTCTAGCGAATACGCCAGGTTTTTCTATAAAAATTTTTCGTGTGTGTTCTATCGCGACTAGTATTGTTATCAGAAACCATTGTTTCTGTTCGCAGAAAGTCGACTGGGAAGCAGAGTTAGCGATAGTGATTGGGAAGACCGCCAAAGGCCTGAATAATCACGATGCAGAGGACTGCATATTCGGGTACACAGTCGCCCAGGATATCTCGGCGAGAGACTGGCAGAAGGGGAAGAGGAACGGGGGTCAGTTCCTCCTGGGAAAGGCCATGGACACATTCTGCCCACTTGGCCCAGCAGTCGTTACCAAAGAGGCCATCCCTGATATTCATAATCTCACAGTCAAAACCTGGGTCAATGGGGATTTGAAGCAGAATGGGAACACCAGTGAACTTATCTTCAAACCTCGGGATATTGTCGCTTACATTTCACAGTGGGTATTTTTCCTTCAATTTTTTCCCCGTTCAAATCATTATTTTTTTATGAAACTACACTGAGAGAAAAACAAACACATTGTCTAACAAGTCTTGTTTGGGCCAACAAAATCGTTAGTTGAAAATTGCCAAAAAAGAATTTGTTTGGTTCGAATTTGAAGGTCTCAAACATGAATAATTGTTCTGCTTTCGACAGTAACGAAATATTTGGCTCAAGAGGTGGATAATTGTTCTGCTCTCGACAGCAACGAAATATTTGGCTCAAGAGGTGGATAATTCACACCAGACTGTGCCTTTTCAGGATGAAAATATCTCATACAGAGGAAAATTTATCAACAAATATTTTATCCCTAAGTTACAAGATTGCTATCATATCATTATTATTGTTTCATTTAAGGGTTCATTTCTTGTCTGTGATTATCAGAGAGCCGAAACAAAAAACTACTATCCCTTATTTCGCATAAAACAAAGATTTTTCGGGAGCAAAATACGTATGGGAGTATCGAATAACGAAGGAGTAGTGCTAGATATGACATTTCTTGCGTGTACAGAGAATGCAATTTTTTTGAACTACTAAATCTATTTTTGCAACAAAAATTTTGCCTTCCGGCGCACTCTCCGCATGTTTGGCACAAAAAAATCTTTTTTTGATAATTTTTAAAAACTATTTTTTTGGCACAAGTAAGACTTGTTTAAGAACTTTGTCGTTTTTCTCTCAGTTTTTCCATGGGTGCCAGAATAGTAAAACCTTACCGTTTCCCACTTTCATTAATTTTTATCTCAATAATAATGCACTAAAAATGAACGGTTTCAACAAAGTTTTTCACAATGAAAATTTAATTGTTTGAAATTAATTGAAATTGAATTCCTCTTCTTTTACAATTACTGTAAACAAAAGATTACAGTATATTAAAAAATATACATAGGCATCATATTACATTACTTGATAAGCGGGATGTAGGCTTCAAAAGTCGTTACACTGGATTTTTTTAAAAGTGGATGATGATTTGAATGGGGTGAATCTATTCTTCGATTCATTCAATTTTTCAATCGTTTTGTTTCAGGTTTATGACGCTGTTACCAGGAGATGTCATTCTCACTGGAACCCCAGGAGGTGTAGGCTTCGCTCGTAATCCTCCAGAGTATCTAAAGGTAAGTAGTTATTTGAAAAGTCAATTACAGTACTATAAGGCCCAGGCTACAGATCTGGAAATGTTCAACCATCAAATTTATGAATTTAATTACTTGAGAAGAAATCAAAAGACGTTTCGCTGAAAATATCGCTTTCGACATTTCTTCCGTGCAAATAAATGATGGGAATTGTTTCAATCTTGGTAAAATTATAAAAGGGCCGGAATCTCTAAAAATTCAAATTGTTTCAATCATTTTATCAATTTTCTGCTGTAAGTAGACATTTTAATTTTTCTAGCGTTTTAAATTTTAGAGCTTTAAGGTTTGACTACTAAAATTATTGCAAAATTTCTAGTAATTTAGAGTCACATGGAAGCTCTAATATTGAAATGCAAATGTTGTGGAGGATTCCAACGGAAAAAATGGCTAAAGTCCTTGAATACCCCTAAATAATTAATTCAGTTGCAAAATGGTAAAGAGAGATTAATCCTAAAATGTTTCATTGGTTCCGTACATACCTCTGAAACTACTAGATTTAGGGAAGAAGAATATCTGATGTACACCAGAACATTTCCTACCAAAAAATGCTCTGTAAGATTTTCTTTTATACGAAATAGTTACAGAGATATTTGAGAAACAAGTCTTACGACTTTAAATTTTTTTAGTGAGGAGCCATCATAAACCCGACCTAATATAGTTTATTTCTGTAGTGAAGTTGTAAACTAGAACAAGTGCAAATTTTTTGAAGAATTTTGTATTACTTGAATCGAAAAGTTTTTCAAACGTGGTCAAATTTTTAAACTCTCCTGAATAAGTTCCTTTTTTGCACTTATCCTAGTTTACCACTTGGCTACAGATTTCATTCTTGGGATAAGTAGATTATTTTCAATTGATTTTTCACAGAAAGGAGATGTCCTCGAGACAGAAATCGAAAGCATCGGTCGCCTAAAGAACAACGTCGTCTCGGCTTGAGCCCAAGATGAATAATTAATCATCCCTGTGCCATCTGTAAACAATCCATCGACGTTCGAAGAAAAATGAAACAGAAGCTTTACGAATATTACCACTGACAAACTTATACATTACACAATTCCCATGAATCACTTTTTCTTATTTGCCAGATTTGTTAAATATGTTTTTTTTTATAAATTCGCAATTGTAGGTAGGATTGTACATTGAAGTACATTACATACATTTGTAATGATAAGTCCTCTGCAGTAATCTATGAATACCATTAGCTGGAGAAATCAACAAATATTTTAATAGTACTTCGAAATATCATAATTTATATACTTTTGTGTAGATATTTTTAGATATTTTGAATAAAAAATAGCTGATTTATTGCCACATTTTAGCTGTTTCACAATTCAATCCGAAAATAGGAGAGGAAAATGGTTCGAATCAACATGGAGCATTACTATTACAACGCAATTACCTCTAAAATCAGTGATTTGTGGACAAAATGTCAAAAAATATTATTTGCAGATATCTCCCCCTCTCCCTTTCGGATATTTGAATACAGTAGAGGCTTCGTATAAGATACCTCGCGCTCCGAGCGCTTGAGGCCTACCCCCACTCTCGGCAGTTTCATCGCTTCCCGAATGTTTATGTTTCGTGGGCTTCTTATAAGACAAGATCTATGCGGGCGCTGATCTATTCATTTGTTGAAATGAAGAAATGGAATTCACTGAATTTCATTTTCTCATGAATACCTTATAAATATTGATAATGAATCAAAGAGAATTCGACTAATGATTGAAGTGAATAGCGAAGTAGAGTAAAAGAATCTATAAAGAATTTTTCATTTTCAATTAATTATTTTCAATTTTTTTAAATAATCGGTCTCCATAAAAGGACAGAATTTATTAATTTCACCCATGATATANATATATATATATATATATATATATATATGACGTGAAAAAACAATTTACCACTGAAGAATTTGAAAATGCCGCGTGTTTTTTTTGTGAATAACTTCGTGTCACATATTGACCAATCAGAACTAAGTATTAGCGGTCAGGCAGTGTTTCGAGATATTTCGATATAAAACAACTTCACGTTTCTTTCATATTTAGTAAAATAGGATACCTATGGCCCCGAAATTCCGATTTTAATCTGACTACAATAGAAATGTTGATTTCCACATAAGACACTGGGTTAAATCCTGATTTTTAAACATTTCTTCTTTGAAAAACCAAAGCGATAATTAAATTGAGAAAAAAATTAGAATTCCGAATCCAATCGAGTTTTCTGCAATTTTTTTCCAGTTTTCAATAATCTTTGAATTTACCGTAAGGGTAGGGCTACTTTGAACGTGCCCGCCAAATTCCCAATCCTCCCACCCATTCTCCTCCTCCAACCCCAGCCCAGCAGGACGTCACTTCCCGCCAGCCGTGCCCGCTTCGCCAATCGCCTTTCTCCCGGAAGACCCCCAGCGCCACCTCTCGCCTTCTCTAGAACCGCCAAAACAAGGAAGAAAGAGAAGAGAACCCACTCGCGCGCCATTTCGTCATCACGTCGGCCATTAACCATACCCTCGCCCATATTCACGTTTCCAACAGCCAACATCTCTCCGCAATTTCAAGTCATCGCCTTCTCTCCCTCCCACCCCCTCCCTTCCATTTCCACCTTTTTGTCGTCCACCTCCTGCCCTCCTCCCCAGCCCCTCGCCTGTCAGTGATCCATCGTCTTCGTTTTGAAACCGCAGTTCTCTCTTTTCATCGGTCGCCATTGCCAGTTCAGAACAGTGTAACGCATCGGCGTACAGTTTTATATATATCTCACTCCAACCAGTCCCTGCACCCGTCCCAAAGGGGAATGAAAATGTCGGTGCGTTGGTGGGGTCTCTCGTGCCACTAGTGACTTTCGCCAGACATTTTCCCATTTATCCCAAGAATAATTTTTAAAAACCCACCGACAAACTTTATTTTTTTTTTATTTTAATTTATTTGATTTCAAGTAATTCACATTAATCGGTGAGTTGAGAGATATTCAGTGGCGGGGCACAAGGCTTTTTCAACAAAGCCCCAGTGGACACACGAAGAGGTTTTTCAACTTTTTTTTTCTTCGCCTTTTTGAAACTTTATTGAGTGAGTGTGTGTGAGTGGCCGTGGGGCAAGAGGTACGGGGAATTGAGAAAAAAAGATATCCCCGTAACCATATTTTCAACGAGTTGGCGAGAATTTTCCAATCTTTTTTTTTTCTTTTTTGAAAGTCAATTCGGGGTGAGAGAGTTGTGAGGAGGGAATTGATAACTGCACAAGTGTTTTCTAACGTGATATTGAGAGCCCGAGGGCTCTCCGTTCGTACAATTAAACCATCTTGCAACGGTATATGGTATGTCTCGACATTGAGACTCTGCCGTTTTACTTTTATTTTTGTCACCTTTTTTTTGTTTCTTTATTTTGATTCAACTGATTAGCCAAAATCGTTTGATATTCTGTGCTGGTTAAAATCATTTCAGACGCTTGATGTCGAAATTGTCATGATTATTGAGACACCTTGGTTACGTTGAGATGAAAATTTTTTATTAAAGGAGAAAAGAAAAAAAAATTGGAAGTTTTGTGCGTGAAATTGGGTGATTCTGTTATGATATTTATCATTTTCTTCTCTGAAGGAAAGTCTATTTGAGGTTTTTATTTAACATATTTGTTTGTTTCATACTTGTGACTATTAAGGAAAGAAAATACAGAGTGAAATGGCGATGATGAGTAGTGTACTCGGTAAAACCGAATTTGTCGTCGGTGGAAAGTATAGGCTCATGAGGAAAATTGGATCGGGATCGTTCGGCGACATTTATCTTGGCATCAACATTTCCAATGGCGAGGTGAGATACGTTTGGCAGCGTATTGATGTCGTTATCGAGGTTTTCATTTCCGGGGGTCATTTGTGATCGGAGTTGAGGCTAGATGACCTGAACTTGATCGTCTTATGACTTCTTGATTGGTTTTTTCATTGCGAAAGGTATCAATTGATGGATGAAATTTCAGGAAGTTGCTGTCAAACTCGAGAACATGCGAGCACGTCACCCACAACTGCTCTACGAGTCCAAATTGTACAAAATATTACATGGGGGCGTTGGAATTCCACACATTCGCTGGTAATTATTAATTTTTTTATTGTTGGAGAGATGCACTCAGTGAGGGAAAGGAATTGAATCGAATGAAAATGTTCATTTGAAATTTTTCTGCTCATTTTAACAATATTCATTGACAATTAATGACCTCATTTTTATGCTTAAAAATGCTTTAATTATGTAACATAAACTCATTCCTTGCAAATGAATCTTCAGTAACAATCAAATGAAAGATTTATTTGATTCAAATGAGATTTATTTAACTTGGTGTTTCGTTCGATGAAGGTGCATACTGACATTCATCTGGAATTCATATAGTAAGTTTAGAATCACAGTTGAATTATCTGAATTTACCTAGAATTATTCTAGATTTCCTTTTCAAGTTCTGAAGGATATCTAAGTATGTTTTACAGTTTGCTACAGACCACACTATAGATTCAACCATTTTCAATCATTAAATTTGTCGATTAAATTGCGTGAGAAATATTTGAAAAAATCATGAATATTCAGCGTTTTTCAAGTTAATTGATGCACTCAATGAGAGAAAGGAATTGAATCAAATGAACATGTTCATTTGAAATTTTTCTGCTCATTTTAACAGTATTCATTGGAAATTAATGACCTCATTTTTATGCTTAAAAATGCTTTAATTATGTAACATAAATTCATTCCTTGCAAATGAATCTTCAATAACAATCAAATGAAAGATTTATTTGATTCAAATGAGATTTATTTAACTTGGTGTTTCCTTCGAAGAAGGTGCATAATAACATTCATCTGGAATTCATATAGGATGTTTAGAATCACAGTTGAATTATCTGAATTTTCCTAGAATTAATCTAGATTTCCTTTTCAAGTTATGAAGTATGTTTTACAGGTTGCTACAGGCCACACTATAGATTCAACCATTTTCAATCATCAAATTTGTCGATTAAATTCCGTGAGAAAAATTTGAAAAAATCATGAATAGTCAGCGTTTTTCAAGTTAATTGATGCACCTAGCGAGAAAGGAATTGTATCAAATGAAAAAAATTCGTTTGAAATTTTTCTGCTCACTTCAACAATATTCTCATTGGAAATGAATAAACTCGTATATTTATTCTAAAAAATGCTTGAGTTATATAAAATAAATAATTCATTCGTTGCGGATAAATTGTCAATAAGTATCAAATAAAAGATTTATCTGATTCAAATGAAGTTTATTTAAGTTAAGGTATTTCGTTCGAAGAAGGTAAATAATGATATTCGTCTGGAATTCATATAGGAGATAGATTCACAGCTGAATTGTGTGATTTTTTCTGGAATTATTCTAGATTTCTTTTTCAAGTTATGAAGGATATCCAAGTATGTTTATAGCTAAGTATGTTATGTTTTAACCATTTTCAATCATAAAATTTGTCAATCAAATTGCGTGAAAAACATTAGAATAAAATCAGGAATATAGCGTTATTCAAGTTACATTTTCCTCGAAAATATCGTTTATTTAAACATTCGTTGTTTGTAAGTAAATAATAACAATTGTTTAAACTTTCTGAAACCTTATTTATTTAGGTATGAAATCCATTTCTGGTAAAATTCTGAATATGAACAAATTTGTTACGATTTCGAACGAATGATTTATAGGGTGGAAAATTAATTGTTTAAAGATTATTTGTAGAAACTGCTCGGAATTTTTTAAAATGGCAATTTTTTAACTATTTCATCAATTTTTCTCCAAAGGTAAACTTTCTATTCTTTCAAATTTTTAAAATGTTTTATAACGGTTTAACATCGAAATTCAAATTCAGACCTGCAAAGTTTAAATAATGAAATCATTGTAAAATGTCTGGAAACTTGGAGTCAAATGCATTTCACTGGAGAAAACATAGCCAAAGTACTTAGCTATCCTTAACGACCGAAGTCGTTTCTTATACATGGGCTTTTACGGACATATTTCTGTTTAGTATACGAAACTGCGATATCATCTTAGCTGATAATATCATTTCGTGCTAATTTGAAAAATCGTCATAAGGGCCCATGTATAACTTGTAAATGAAATCTAGAAAAAAATTCTTAAAAAATCAGACATTACGGGACAATTACGATGACCATTCTATCAAAATTTCGATTCAATGTCACTATGTTGTTTACACAGATGAAAGCTCTCAAATGAACTACTTCTCTGGATGTGGAGAATGGGAGTATTGTCATGAGTAGATTTTGAAGGTTTAATGTTCATGAAGTAATCTTTTATCTTCCATGGGAAAGTTCGTGAGATAATTTCATAATACGGGTTTACTTCATTATTATGAATCGTTGTATGTTGGGAATTATCATGCGTTAATCCTGGAAACGTATGGTCGCAGGGAACAATGTCGAGAGACATTTTTGTAGCTGGGGAAATTGGCAAGAAAAAATTCTCGGAATTTTCTTTCCACAATGCTCATTAACGAGATTATTATGGATTTATCGCAAGAATGGGTGATTTTAAAAGAAAATTTCAGTAGATCTTTTTTCATAGTCCTTTGAATTTTCAGGAGGTGATCTTTCCTGACATTTTGTTCTAGAGCCACTCGCCCTTGAAGTAATTTCGTAATTACGCAGATTCCCTTCTTCCATTATGAATCTGCGCTGTTAGAAGTTTTTCGACATTTCATGGAAAATGTGATAGTAATTCTCGTGAGAGTGACCTTGAATTTGATTTAGGGGAAAAATAGTTATGAAATTTCGAGTTTTAGGTAGAATTCAAGGAAATTCATCAGTTTTCAGTGGGAGTGAGCTAGAAATTTCACAACTTGATTGAATTTTCAATGGAACATGAATATTCAGAAACGAAATGACGTGATTTTTCAATTTTTCCCGGCATTTTCCAAATTTGTCTGAATTTTCACGGAATAATTGAACTGAAAAACCAAGTATTTTATTGATTTTCAGATCATTCGAACAGAAAATCAATGGAATATTTGATTTTTCAATGACAAGATTTCCTGAAATTGCAATGAAAATTAAACACGAGAAAAATTTCCAGGATTTAGCCCGGAAAATTCGGACGAAAATTTGTAACAGTCTCTGTCACCTTTTACGCTTTTATTGATTATACATTCATCGTTAGAATAAGTCCCAGTGTCAAGAGACCTTTTTTGTAGGTGATGAAATTCCTCATGAACAGTGTCTCTTGATATTTCCTCCCACAATCACTCGTGATCGAGACAATTCCATAAATACACAGATCTTATTTTTTTCGTGATGATCATGAATCTTCGTTTTTTTTCACACGTTAGGAGCGAATGTCAACGAAGCCTGTACATAATTAGAAAACTTTCCAACAAAAACTTTTCTTCATATGTAGTTCACTCCATAATTGCGTACCTCTTAATTTTTCATTATAAGTTACTCTATTTGCATGAACTATGGATTCCCATCTCGTTAATGATTCATTTTAAAGATAAATTTGGGGATTCATTGTTTATAGCTGAGGAAACTTCCAACGAAAAGTGTCTCTTGGCATTGTTCCTTAAAATCACGCATCAAAATAATCCGATATTCATTTAATATTGAGAAATGGAGTGTTAACTTCTCCTGAATCCTCGATAATCGAAATAATTTAATAAATGCGCAGATCTTACTTCTTTTTCATGATCAATTAGGTAATCATCACATGAATGAGTAATTTTAGGACAGAATATTACACAGAGAAAAAATTTGGAGAATAATTACCGAACCAGTCAAGTAATTATGGAACGAACTCGATTTTCAGTGCTTTTTCACCCTATGTCGGAGTAATAGTGCAAAAATTTACTGAACGTGAGGGTAACTTCTACTGTAAAATTGTAAAATTTAGCCTGCAGTCCATAAAAAATTATCCCAGTGAACGTGAATGATTGCTCAATATTGCGTATAATTTTCCTGTAACGGAGAATAATTTTTTACCGAAGGCGCTCCGTAAAATTTCACTTCCACTTCGTTCTCATGACCTTTGGATGGGTCCAAGAAAAAAATACCCCACCGGTGTGGGAAATTTTATTGTACACGAGGATAATTTTTGCATTCAGCTGTGTTTTTTTACCGAACGAATCGTGAAATATTCCCCACAAATAGATATTTTTTCATGGAACTACATTTCGCTCCACGATAACCTTTCGTACAGTAAAATGTGCCAGGATTTTCTAGATATTTTATATGTAACTTTTCTCTGAGTCTACGGATCCTTGTAATTTGCAAAATTTCAAACGAAAACGGCTTTCTAGATTTCACTTTATAGTTGCGCTCATCTCATTTTTCCATTATCAATCGGTTTTTTTACATCAGTTATACATTTCTTTCGTCAATAATTTATTTTAAACAAAAATTTTTATCGCTGATAAAATTTTCAATGATAAGTATTTTGAAATTATTTCCCAAAGTCAATGCCTCATTGAAATAACCCAATATTTAATGAATATGAGAAAATTGAAGTGATCATCGCTTCTCAACTCAAATCATGTCTTTCGTTCCACGTCATTTACAACAGATGATGCAAGGACGTGGATGAATTAAACTTCCCCTCGTTCTTTTTTTAAATACACTAGGAACAATAGTACATCTCATTCACAAATTTGATTATTGAATGTTATTGATTTACACTAGTAGCTGACGAAATTTCCAACAAAAAGTGTCGCTTGACATTGTTCCCCGAAAAAAATGGAGTGTTAACTTCCTCTCAATCATCGATATTTCTTATTAAAATCACTGGTAATCGGAAACAATAACCTAAATTGGCAATCTTATTTCTTCGTCGCGGATCATTGATCATGAATCTTTATTCTTTGAATCAATTAGCCGTCGCATAAACGAGTGATTTTTGGACAGAATATTAGTGATTCTTCTAATTGACAAAATTTGCAACAAAAACCGTTTTTTGTTCCTGGTGGTTTGCAACAGATGATGCAAGGATCTGGATGAATTAAACTTTCCCCTATGAATTAAATGTCCCCTCGTTCATTTTTTAAATACACCAGGAACAATAGTGAATCTCATTCACACATTTGATTATAGAATATTATTGATTCCCACTCATTGTCTGCGACACAAACAATTGATCAAATATTTTGATGATTCTCCATTTGTTGGAATGAGCTCTAAAAAAGAATTGTTTTTTCCCCATTGTTCCTGGATCGTTACGTGGCTCATATTCTTAGATAAGAGAGATAAAGTGCTCTCGTTGTTATTGCGATTAAGTGAATATTTTCAGAAAACTCCCGCTTAGATAATAATCTCTTCGGAGGAAAAAGTTGAGGTAGCGTTTCTCCAATCACTGATTATTCTCTTGCTTTGATGTAGGTATGGACAGGAACGAGATTGGAATGTACTCGTGATGGACCTACTGGGTCCTTCGCTGGAAGACTTATTCACATTTTGTTCGCGAAGATTCACAATTAAGACAGTACTGATGCTCGCTGATCAGATGATAGGGAGAATCGAGTTTGTACACTGCAAACACTTCATCCACAGGGATATCAAGCCAGATAATTTCCTGATGGGCATTGGTCGCCACTGCAACAAGGTAAATTAACATAAGACACCTCTAAAGTGTTATTCAATGAAACACATTTGTCTTATTAGTATTTTCTGCAGTTCTGATACAGTAGGGGTTTATCGACATCTTCTGAATAAATGATACAATTTTAATAATTCCGGTTTGATTTTGAAGCCTGAAAAAGTACCTTAGAAATGAGGAAAAAAATTGTTGGAGTTCACTCTGGCCCTTTTTACTCTCCTCATCCCCATACCAATTTTCTTCCGCTAAATATTTCAGGCTTTTTTTGTAGTTTCAGTTCTCTATCTACTTCAGATTCAACGATATTTATTGAAAACTGGCCCTCTATTTCTCTTGACTAATCAGTTTGTTTCCATTTCAGTACTAAATTCACTCGACAACGTCGATATCTTCAAAGGGAAGGGGCTTAGAAACATTCACCTGAAGACCCTTTCCGTAGAGAATTTCATGCAGTATAAAAAAGCTCCAGATGTATTTTTCTGTAGACCCATAATTTATGGAGATATTTACGAAATAATCGGTTTGGAATTTTGAAAGAAATCGTTTTTTTTGTGAAATAAATTCTTCAAAGGGAAGGGATTTAGAAAAATTCACCAGACCTTTTCCGTAGAGAATTTCATGCAGTATAAAAAAGCTCTAGATGCATTTTTCTGTAGACCCATAATTTATGGAGATATTGACGAAATAATCGGTTTGGAATTTTGAAAGATATCTTTTTTTTGTGAAATAAATTCTTCAAAGGGAAAGGGTTTCGAAAAATTCACCAGAAGACCTTTTCTGTAGAGAATTTCATGCAGTATAAAAAAGCTCTACATGCATTTTCCTCTAGACCAATAATTTATGAAGATATTTACAAAATAATCGGTTTGGAATTTTGATGTTTTTTTTTAACGTTTTTTTTTGTCAAATAAATTCAACGCTATTGTAAATTTTGTTTCAGTTGTTCATCATCGACTTTGGTCTTGCGAAGAAGTATCGTGACAGTCGCACCAGGTGTCACATACTGTATCGAGAGGACAAGAATCTCACTGGCACAGCGAGGTATGCGTCGATAAATGCCCACCTTGGAATTGAACAGAGTCGTCGTGATGACATGGAGTCACTTGGTTACGTACTGATGTACTTCAATCGTGGCTCATTACCCTGGCAAGGGCTCAAGGCTGCCACCAAGAAGCAGAAGTACGAGAAAATCAGTGAGAAGAAGATGTCGACACCAGTTGAAGTGTTGTGCAAAGTAATTTTCTTCTTTCGTTTTATTTATTCTTCCCATTTTTATTTCTCTCGTCATTAAGCAATTTCGATCTTTTTATACATTAATCTTGAAAACTCCTCCACGAGATGATTTCGTATCACTTGTTAACGAAATAATTCCAAAATTACTCAAAAAACAAATTATTGATTTTGTAAAAAAATTGAAAACCGAAATTGAAAATTTTTTTTTTGATTAGTAATGTTTTTTTTATTAGATGATTTATATTAAGAATGAGTAATTCCAGGGAAAAATGTTGAGGCATTTTCTTAAAGCTGATGACACTTTTTACAAAAAATGCCTCTGGACCTGAAGTCATTCATGAACAAAATAATTTCGTAATTACGTAGATTCAATTCTTTGTTTGTCAATGATTCTTTTTTCACTTGCATTGAGCAAATATCTTGAGAAAACTGATGAACAGAATTTAAATTGCATTAATAATCGGGCAGTATTTCTCATAAGAGTGACATTCAATTCAATTCAAAGGAAAAATGGTTATGAAATTTCAAGGTTTAGTCTATTTCAGTTTCAATGGAAATGTTATTTATTGAAAGCATCTGGCATTCGACGACGAAATTCCCAGCAGAAAGTCTCTCATGACATGTTCTCCTGAAATCATGACCTAACGAGATTATTTTATAATTAGGAATGGATAATGCCTTCTCCTCAGGAACAGATGATTGTGAAAAGACATATCTTGTGAGATTTTCTTCCACAATCACCCATCAAGTTTAATCTAATCTAATCTATTCATTCACAGATATATGAAGCTAATAAAATGATTATTTTCACCAGGGATGCCCAGCCGAATTCGCCATGTACATAAATTACACAAAGGGCCTTCGTTTCGATGAATCACCCGATTACATGTACCTGCGTCAGCTCTTCCGTATCCTGTTCCGTACCCTAAATCATCAGTACGACTACACATTCGACTGGACGATGCTTAAACAGAAAGCTGGACTAGCTCTTCCAGGACCAACACCAACAGGTATCACAGGCGCAGCATTGCCACCAGGAGGACAAGGAGGACAAGGTCAGCAGGAACAGAATGCATCCGCCAACCAAACAGTCAGGGCTAGGGAACCGATAGATTTAATCTAAAATTTCTTTGGCTCTCGTTCTTCTCTACTCTCTCCTATTATTTTTTTTACTTCATTTTTCTTTCGTTTTGTCGTTCTCTCTCTGTCTCAGTTTTGATTCTTTTTTTTATCGCTGGATTTATTTGAAGGACAATGAATGTAAGTGCGAGAACGTTTCAGGCTTTATTGGACCACGAGTTGTATTTTTTTTTGTTTTTACCTTCTGAAAACTATTTTTTGTTTCTCTGTCTCTTGCTCCTCTGGGGAAATTTCCGATACTTCTTTTACGATCGTGTGGTCCAGACAAAGCCCCCCCTTGCACACGCCGAAAGAAAATGAGTAAGAAATCGTGGTGACTTCTGTTTAAACTCCATCAAGTTCAGAATTACATTTTTGTAATGAAGTGGAATGGAGTGATGAGTTGATTTGCTTTTCTCTGCATTTTAGGGGTTTATCTTGAGAAGGAAGGATTGATGGGAAATGAAGTGAGTCGTTCCATGAAATTGTTTCATTGAATAAAATGTAATTCCAAAAGTGAATGAAAAACCAGCATTTTACATTCAATTTTGATGCTCAACAATGAAAAAAATATGAGACCCATTTGTGGAACGGCTTGCTCCCCTCCAAGATATTCTCAATCATGTCCAAAGAATAACGCGAACATCTCATCCCTTCATGCCCCTTCAAGACAGATTTGATGCTCGTAATAACGAGAGTCGCCACTCAGTAGCATAAAAATTGAAGTAATTTATAAACTAGTAATTCATAACTAAACTTCAGCAAAGGAAGAAACTAAAAAGAAGAGTCAAATGTCCACAAAGTTTTAATGAAAGTTGCATTAACGTCACTAACAGCGGGAGACGGTATCAGAAATTTATCGCGACAAGCCGTCAATGAATCTTCCAAGCGAGGCTAAAGTCAAGTTATCTCCCTCATCTCCCCTTCTTGCATTGAAAATCAGAATGAAAAAAAAATAATGAAGATTGAAAATTTTGAGATAAATGAAAACAGCTGGAAATTCTCGGAATAATTTCATTGTTCACCTGCAAAGAACAGCCACTACCGAAATTATCTTCGTAGTTCATCTTCTCTGTTCACTGATCAATCGGACGCAAGTTTGTTTTCATCTCATTATCATATTTCATATTTCATTGAACAAAAATTATCAAGTGGACAGTGACTTCAGGGTGTTCCTGCGTCCTCGTCCAGATTTCCGTCCTTGCACAGATCCTCCGTCCGTACCAGGCGAGTCAGAGTTAAAATAAATTAATTAGTTTATTATGAATTCTTCCAAGTTTTCTCAATGGAGAGAAGAATAAGTCGTTTAACATCACTTGAGATGATGGAATTGTGCAATTTATTATTATTATTTTTTTTTGTAGATTCACTGAATTCCTTTCTCTGCCTTTCTTCTTAAGTAATGAGTGAACGCGTTTGCTTGTTTGGGGCACTGTCGGTTCAGTTATTTTGGGATTTGATTCATTTATTTAAGGAGCATGACAATCTCTGAGCATGAATTAATAATACAGGTTGTTTTGTTTTTTAATCACGTGATTTGGGGAATCTTGGGGGCTCTTGTGAGTTATTTGAGAGCATGAGGATGTGGAGAGGTAAAAATAGTTTCAACGATGAGCTGCGAGCATCTTCGATGAAGAGGTCCTGCTGCTCCAGTACTGCAGGACATACGGCGAAAATATGTTTTTCAATGAAGAACATTTTTTTCTCGGCATTTTTTGCAGTTCTGAAGGAATGGGGGCTTTTGATTTGGGATTTTTCGTCGGGCATTCGGCCTGGCTCGTCAGTGGAAGTATTTTAAACTCTCAACCTCTTCAGGTTCTCAAGGGATTCACAAGAATTCACCTGCATTTCACGGATTACACAATTGGGGTTTTGTGAACATTTTTCATGATATGACATTGTGAAATGTGGAAGAGTGGGGAATTTGGGATACGTATTTTTTATCATTTACTTTACTCAATCATTTTACTTTACTCAAAAGAAGATAACAATTTCCACAATAAAAAAAATTAAGAAGTTAAAAATTCTTCAATAACTTGATCTGAAATCTAATTTAATACAGCTATAACAGATTTTCCATTCATTATTTCTACGAATTGAAAAATACGTATCCAATATTTCTCGAAACATTCCACTTACAAAAATGAAAAAATATCGTAAAACCCCGATAGCATCCTTTGTTGTTTGAACAATTAACAATAAGAGAGAATACATTGATCGTAGGCTTTAATTAATGCTTCTCTTGGTTTGTAACTCTAGTGTTTGAACTCAAACCAATGTGCGTGGTTCCCACATCTTGAAAATTGAGTAATTTAATTAATACAACTAGTGTAATCAATACAAATTCGTTAAAAGATTCTGCTGATAATTTCAAGTACCAAATTAGATTCATTTAACAATGATGAATGAAAAACGCAATGAATTAAATTCTGAAATCAATGTGAACTTGTGCCCAGAAAAAAGCAGAGTCATTATAGAATTTTCTTTGAACAATCTTATTTAAAAAAAAATTGAAAACATAATCTTTCATTGACCCTATTTGTGATTTGGACGTGTCTTGGAATCTGTTACAGGAGCGCTTTAAAACACTCTAACTCCGTGTGTTAGCCACCAAATCCCGAATGCAATCGCAGTGGTATCAGTATCCAATAAATATTGAATACGTAACCCATAATTAACAAATCAACAACTGTGCGAGAACAGGTGTCACACAAGTGCGAGAGAGAGCGACTAGAGACTCTTGAGAAGAACAATAATTGTCATCCCCATAAAGTAAACCAGGAAATATTAATGACCAATAATCAAATTTGATAAAGCAAAAGAGGAATCGAAAAAAAAACTATGATTTAGGAAGACGAAGAAATGGCAATTATTAACATTATCCACGTGTGTGTCACTGGAGTGGATGGAGAACGGACAGAGAAAAAGAATAAAACAAACCATACCCAAAAAAGTAACAAACATTTTTTCATGAATTTCATAATCACATTTTCACATTAAAACGTAACATTAAAAACAAAACAACCGATAAAATTGTAAAAAATCTTTTCTCGGTACTTAGTTTAAAATGTTGTTTTTTTTTTACATAAAAAACAAAAATGATATCTGTCTCTCTTCTACTTACTTTATTTTCTCTTTACCGATTAATCCAATATTGAATGATTATTTTTCATATGCCGAGGGATGAGGAGAATCTCATCAAAAACGTCTTCACTTTGTTATTTATCTATTTAAGTGAAAAAAAATGATAAGATGAACAAAAATATTTGATTAATCCATTCATAAATACGAGTAATAAGGGTTTCACGATTATAGAGGTATTGAAGAATCCTCGAGTTGCAGTTTAAGAGACAAAACAAAAAAATAAGTAATAATTTTAACATTTAAATAAACTAAGATTGAATAAACAATGGAAAGAGTTAAACCAAGAAGAGTAACTGAAAATTCAAATGGAAGTGTGCGCAACGCGTCATCAAAGTTTAATGCGGCAAGTGATATACGAATATGTGTGTGTGAATTTTGTGTACTATGCTTAATGGAGAATCATTGAACCAATGCTTGTTTAACAAAATTGATAAAAACTCAAATTAATTTTGAAGTTTAACGAAGAAAAAAAAATTGAAATAATGCTGAAGGAAAACGAGAGAAAAGAATGTAAGTGTTTCGAAAGCAAGGGAGAGAGAATGCCCCATCAACTATTCACAATTAATCTTTAATTTTTCTATTATTAAAATATGGCCGGGACAATAACGAGAACCTCTAGTAGTGGCTGGTATTTGTCACGGTGACAATGATCATTAACATCATTAAAATATCTCAAAAGTCAAGTTGTTTTATTTTCTCATGAATTATTAGTGATTCAAAAATTATTAAATTTAAATAGAGAAAAACGGTACTAGAAATTTAAGATTAAATACTTTCTTTAATTTAGTTCTATGGAAAACTGAATAACGAGAAAAGTTGTAAAGTCATTTTTTTTTATGAGTTTACATTTTCGATGATGAACGCCCGAATGCGTTTTCATTAATGGAAAATACAAGGAGGAGCATAGGAATATGTAATGAAGTGGGTGAAAACAAAATAAAATATCTAATGGATTAAAAATATAATAAGAATAAGGAAACAAGGGTGAATGTAGTGAGCACGAGTGAGCAATGTGAATTTCAATTGTATGCGTGTGGTTTTGTGAAAGCGTAAGGTCCGCTTTTATTCGAGTGCGTGAGGTTTAATTAGTTATTACCATAGGAAACTACCGATTTAAAAAGAACAAGAAAAATTGAAAAAAAATGGAAAAAAACCGATTAAAAAATGGAAAAAAAATGACAATGAGGTACGCGAATGACGAAAGTGCGTGTATATTGATGAGAATAAGTTGGGAAAAAAAACGAAGATAAAGTGAATAAGCGAATACGTGCACATCTGCGAATATATATTATATATATTATTATGAAAATGTCACATTAAATGACACGCTGTTTCCTAAAAAAACAAACAATAATTATGAAGATATGGGGGAAGTACGTCAGAACGTTTTGTGTTTTATCCACTTCTACCTTACACCAACAAAATACCCCCCACTCTTTCGTCTCTATTAATAAAGACTCGACATTGTACTGTAATGCATTTTGTATCGTTATTTTTATTTTATTATTTCCTTGGGGCACGAAGTTCCCGCATTTCCACTCGATTCATTACATAAAAATTGCTACATGACATTCTTCGCTTAAGGATAGGAATTTTTTCATTAGGTTGTCATGATATTGTTTCTTATGTCCCACTGAAAAAATAACCGCCAAACTGCGGCGAAAGACAAACTCCAATTGGCGCCAAAATAAATTTCATTTTATTGACTATTTTTGGTAAGAATTTTTCCCATCCAAATTTCAGCCAATAGAATTCCACCATTCGATGTCACGTGATACAACCTACAGGGTTTTCAATTGACAATTTCCTCAATACTGATTTTGACCAATCACAGTGCAGTATTCGGGGTCACGTGAACGGCTTCACACCGAGTGTTTTCCTCATCGGAATCTCGGCCAATAGGAGGGCTGCAGTTGATGTCACGTGGTACAACCTACACGGTTTTATCTCGGGAATTTTCCTCATCCAAATGTCAGCCGATAGAATTGCACTATTCGACTGTTATTTCATATAGTCAACATGGTATTCTGCTGATAATTTTTGATAATTCAACTAGTAATTTTCCATGTTGACTCTATTTGTGGAAAACAAAAGATTCCGTGGTCGAGTGAACCCCTGGTTGGAACTGTCAGATGGATTTTGTCTCATAGTGCAATTCTTTTGGCCGACATTTGGATGGGAAAATTCCCTCCCGAATACTACTCGAGCTTCAAAATTAATCGAGTAATTCTTCAAGGTTCCCTGCACATAAACGAAGTCGTCAAGTTTTTCAGGAAAAATCACTCGGGCTTCGCACTCGTGATTTTTTAACCTGAAAAACTTGACTCCTTCGGTTGTTTGCGAACCTATCGGGAATTGCTCGATAATTTTGAAGCTCTCATGGCATCACTTGCGCTAAAATTAGGTAAAACCACGGCACATTGCTAAGGGAGAATAAACAAAATAATTGAAATGCGAAAGTGTAGGTTGTACCACATTGACATCAAATGCTGTCCTCCAGTGACCGAAATTCCGATGGAGGAAATACTCCTCCAAATACCCCTCGAGCTTCAAAATGCATCGGGTATTTCCCTCGCGCTTCGCGCTCGGGATTTTTAAACCTACGAAACTTGACACTCGTTTGTTTGCAACGAAGCTATCGGGAAATACCCGATCATTTTGAAGCTTTCGGGGTATTACTACTGATAATTTCTCCGGCTGCAAGCTCTGGTTTTCAACTCTGGATCCAGAGTTGAAAAGCAGAGTTCACAGCAGAGATGTCAGACAAGATGTGAATTTTTTTTTTGGGCCCCAATGCCAAAGCGGGTATCGAAATATAGCGCAGATGATTCTAAGGATGACTTTCCAACCAGGGGAGACTCCTAGACCCCACTGGACAATGTTGTCACAACTCTGGTTTACACCTCTGGATCCAGAGTTCATAGCAGAGATGTCAGACAAGATGTGAGTGAGAATCTACCGTGGATCCACGGTAAAATTTACGGTGGAGCGTGCGAATAGACACTGCCGAGAAATTAACCCTCCTGTAGTCGCACGTCTTCGCGGAATGTCGTTAGTCGCGTGGTAAGCGCTGCGGATGGGGGACAAAACGACCGTCCGTACATTCTCGAGCGCAGCGTTGCCAGAGCCATACGACACTATAAACATATCACCGGTCATCGACAGATCCGATCAATTAGCCCCTCATGTATAGATATTCCAAATTTTTATTTTTTCCTCATTGAAGTAGTTTTGAAAAAAATTGCGAGCTAATAAAAAACATTTGCTAGTTAGGACTTTTTTTTAAATAAATTTTTGAAAAA